TGAGCTCTCAAGAAGGAGAGGGATATGTGAATGTATTCGATCTTGAACTGGAAGGCAGCACATACCATTCCAATGGGAATTTTTTGGTGGGGAGGAGAGTGAATAATGCCAAAGACCTTACTACCAGATTTGCTACTACTTGTTTCTAGTTACAACTTCCTTTGCAAAAGACACACCCTCATCATTGTCGTGTTACCTCTTCCTCCATGACGTAAGTGAGCAGCTTCCAGTCCCACTCCACTGTCTTGGCATTAGCTGGATGAAGCCTGGAAGTCAAGCGACATCAATTAGCATTCTGGAGAGTTTAGTGGAAGAAGGGACGGGATCTGGAAGACGACAGAAGCGAGAAGCCTCCGCTTATCCTCACGCTCTTGCCCGCCCTTCGATAAAATGCGTCATCTGAGGATAGCGGGACATTTTTTTTTTTTTTGCTACCCAGTAGTCACTTCTCTTTTGGGGGCTATCTGTACCCCAATTTTACCTTGAAGAAATTGACTCTTGATTATATAGCCCACAACGTTCCCTACCAAGACCCGGGCATGAAGCCTGCGGAGCACGCTGAGCCAGTCACGAAATTCTAGACCAATTCAGCGTTGGCTCAAGGGTGGGCCCATGTCTCATATTATGCAATTAAAACCTACAAGACTCATGTGATTATAACGGAAGCGAACTTTCTCTCCCACTGAGAATATCATACAAGCCAGAGGCCAAGAAGGCTACCGCGTGGAGCCTGCAAACGGAAGCAAAGCAGAGCCGAAACATGGATCCTTGTAATTGGTTTTGAACTGAATTAAGTCACGTCTCATCCTAGGTTTCTAGTAACATGAGTCATTCAATTCTCTTTTACTAGCTGTTATAGGCAATTTGGATTGGGTTTCCTGTTGCAACCCAAATAACAGTAATATGCTATGTCACCCTCTCTAACGGTTAGCTGAATAAAATGTAGGCAAGAGAAAGCAGGCCCCGAGTCCAGGCCCCCAGGAGGTCTGCCAGCATCTGAGGTTCGTACTGTTGAATTTTCATGAGCAGCATGTAGGCGTCCTTCAGGACATCCACGGTCTCAGAGTCACTGAGCAGAATTTTCTGGATGATGTGAGACACGATTTCTCTGGGTGGGTAATGCTGGGGTGACACAAAGTCCATCAAAAACTGCACAGTCCCCAGGGGAAAATTTTCTTCAATGGTGTTTGTTACCATTCTTAGCCTTCGATGAGGGATGGGTTCTAATTTTTGACCTTTACTCTGTAGAGATAAAAAGAAATAAATTAGGATGGGTTTCTATGGACAAACACGACAAACACAAGAGGTTCTGGAAATAGGCTGAAGACAGCGAAGTTTTCCATGCATTTGAAATATTCATAAAAAAAGAGAATCTGGAAAGCCTTAGCTAAAACACTTTTAGTGACATGGAAAATGATGCTTATATTAAGTTAAAAAATAAGCATTCGAAGTTCTACATGTAATGTAATATCATCTGCATTAAAATATAGCACAGAAAGAAATGTACAAGAGTCAAGACGTAGCTGAAATTGATTTTGGAGTAAAGGTGATAAGATATTTAGAAGTAGTCATAATATTATATCAGATACCAAAATAAAGAAATGAAGAAAAATGTTCTAAACATGTTCGATTGTTAGTTGAAGGATCTCACGTTGCTGATTTTGGAGTCAACAGTAAATATTATCGCCTTCTCCCCACCAAAAGTACGTATATAAAGACTGGGAGAGAATATGTGAAAAGCGCTTTCCTATTATCTGAGTGGCAGAATTATGGATGATTTTTTTTGTCTATATACATTTTTTATATTTTTCGATTTTTCCATAACAGACATCTATCTATTACTTTCATAAACAGAAGGAAAACAAACATTAAAAACTCTGTTTGATACAGGAATGTAATAACAATTATAAAACAACGACTTGTGAATGTTTAACTTATCCTCAATTCTCACAACCCTAGGAGATTCATACTATTTGTATTCCTATTTTACAGATGAGGAAACCGAGATTTAGAGAGTGAGTATTTGTCATGCAACTCATGGCAGAAGCTGGCATACATCAGTGATATCACTTCAGATCCATCCCGTAAACCTGTACTCTCCATAAACAACATCAAATCCCAATTATTAAAAAACTTTAATATGTATAAAAGGCAAGCAGGATGGAAAAACACCAAATTATTAATAATAATCAATGCTGACTGATAACAGCAGGGGTAACTACATTTATATTTCATAGTTGAAAATGTTTTCTATTAAGCAAGCATTATTTTTAAAATCTGAGAAGTGTTCATTTTAAACCAAACAGAGACTTGACAGCTTATGCGTAACAGTAAGACAGCGATGGCTAGAATCACCCTTTCAGAAGGTGCAGGTACCTTTCGTGTCTCAGATCACCTGAGGGTAAGCCCTGATGTCGCCGATGAGAGACCAAGACTGCAAGTGGCATGTAATGAAGAGCAAGAGAAGATGAGGGAACAAAAATCTTGCGCTGGTGACTATTACACGTGTGGTGCATTTTACAATTTCGAACCTGTGTTATTTGTTTCCTGCCTACAGAAGGGGACATCTACAAACAGATCAAGTTTATCAATTGTTCTGATGCCTGTACCTTTAAAAGGAACTAATATTTATAGAGCACTTTTACAAGCCCTGAAAGGCGGCTTCATGCTTTATGTGTTTACGTTTAAGTCAAACAACTCTGTGATCTGGGCTTTACGACTTAGTTTAGAGCTACACAAAGAGACTCAGAGGAGTTAAGGCCAATGGCTGGTAAGTGGCATCATGGGGACTGGCTAAGAAGTTCTGGGTGGGGAAAAGTGACCCAGTGAAGAAATACTTATTCAAGGCCCCAAAGAAATCACAGGAGACACAGAAAAGGTGTACGGATGTCTTCCAGATGGCTGAGGTAAGAAAGAGAAATAAAGGAGAATCCACTTTACGTCGCCTAATTGCCACCTTATAATCTGAGCTACGTGTACAGAGACGGGGGACACAGTATCTCCACCTGCATCTCCCGATGGCTTCTCCAGTCGTGCACTGCAGCCTTGAGGAGGAAAACAAACTCTTTCAAGGCCCCCAAGCACCCTTGATAATGAGCACACATATCACCAACCTGAGCCGAACCCACAGGAAAACAGAGGAGGGGCTAGTGATTGGGAGTCATTCGGAAGAAGAAATGAACATATCAGAAGTCATAACAACAACTAAAACGAGAGAGAACAACTTACTGGCCAAGGCCAGATCAAGGTGAATGCCAGATGTGCCAAGCTGGATCACTGATGGCTCCGACAAGGAGAACACACCTTGTGATCCTGAGCTAGCCCAAGCCGGTTTTCTCGACGTTAGGAACGTGCTTATGGATGAGAAAATTGCTTCGTATTGTAGGACGTGGCCGTAATTTTTTTTTCTTACACGTCTGGTTTAGTTCTCAGAGATCAGTGAAGACCCACGGGAAATAGCATTCCCATGAAAATCTTAAAATTGAATTTCCTCCCCAAAAGTTGGAATAACAACTTTGGAGGCACCGAAGGGTCGAGAGTATTATTACTTCTGTACACGGGAGCTGTAATAAGGGCGTCGTGAAGACACAGGGATGGAAGAGAAGCACGTGATGAAGGCCTGTGATGAGCCAGACACTGCAGGCACTTTCCGTACGTTCTCGCACGTTCTTCTCTCCACCGAAAGCTAAAGCTCAGAAAGGTAAACTGACGTCTCCAGTGCCGGTTTTTAAGAGTGGGAATGAAAGTCGAACCCAGATCTGACTCTACACTGGTTCCACACGTAGGGGAAAGATATAAAGGTCAAGTTCATAAGGGACCTGTTCTCCCACGCGTACTAACCTTATGCTAGCCCTGTGAAAAGGACCTCTAATCCCTAGGGGAAGACAGGTTAGCTCACCTCTCTTAGGTCTTTATCGGGTACTAGTGTCTGGAAGAAGAGGTGATGCACTGGAGGTCGTAAGAAGTACTTCAGCCTATGCAGGCATGGTCTGCTGTACAACCCACCTTCTGGCGTTCGTGCTTGTACCTGGGCAGGCCCGGGGTTGGCAGGCTCTGATGGGGAAATCTCTTTTCTGGCCGGAGGTGCTGTGGCAGAGAGCCAGGGAACTTTCTCTAAGGAAGTTTCAGACCGCGGGGACTCTGGGCTAGGCGAGCAGCTTGGAGAGGGTGGAGCGGAGATGTCCATAGGAATGTCGCCATTCCGTATGTCATTTTGGGGAGAGTCAGGCCTGTCGCGCGGTAAGTGAGGCGAGTGTCCAGGTAAGGGCGGCATGTCTCCACCTGAACGCAGCACATCTCCCGGTAAGTGTGAGACTTCTCTAGGTGGATGTGGCATATCTCTTGGTGACTGTGGCACGTCTCCCGATGAGTGTTGCATGTTTTCTGGTGGCTGTGACATGTCACCTGGTGATCGTGGCATGTCTTGCAGGTGTGCCACATCTTGTGGATATGATATGTTTTGAGGTGGGCCTGGGACACCTTGAGGTAAGCCCAGAGAGTCCTGAGGTGGGCAGAGTGAGTGCTGAGTTGGGCAGAGTGAGTGTTGAGGTGGGTTTGGTGAGTGTTGAGGTGGGTTTGGTGAGTGTTGAGGTGGGCTTGGTAAGTGTTGAGGTTGCTGTGATGAGTCTTGAGGTGGGCGTGGCACATTCCGAGGGCCCGGCACATCTTGAGGACATGGTGCTTCTTGAGGCAGGCGAGGCAAAGCTTGCAGGTGGCACTGCACAGTTTGTGATGGGCATGACAAGGCTCGCGGTGGGCATGAGGAAGCTCGCGGTGGACTCGGCGAGGCTCGCGGTGGGCATGGCAGGGCTCGCAGTGGGCATGGCAAGGCTTGTGGTGGACAAGGCACATCTTGCTGTGGGCATGGCAAGGGTGCCCTTTGATTGCTGCTGCTACCATTATTGCTTTCTGGGGAGAGGGAATGAACATCTGATGATAGCTGTAGGCTGGCCAAGAAGCCGAGGTCACCTTTGAATGTGGTTGAGCTACAGTTTGGCTCTGCTGGATAAACAGAGTCCTCATGGATGGACGGAGGGGGTTGGGGACCTTCGAATACAGTTTCTTCCAAAAGTTCCAGGTCCACAGGATCGCTGTTAATGATTCTCCGGGCCGCAGGCCGAGCATTTCTGTCCACCCATCTCTCTGTCACCTCTTTGCTGGAGAGGCTTGCACTTGTCTGAAGACTGGCTGGCTCCTTCTGGGAGGGAGCGACAGGTTCTATAGTCAAGTCAAGGGTGGCGATAGGTCTGTTTTCTTCCTCAGTTCTCGTCAGGTCAATCACACAGAGCCCACTGCGCTCCTTGGCCCTCGGTCTGGCTTCTCTGGTTAAGTCAATGAAGTCCTGTAGGAGGATTATGAGAAGATAAGGGGTCAAGGAGGGAATCTCAGCTTTATCTAAGAAGACTTAAGCCTCAGCTTTTAAGGATAAGCACATCTTACCTTTTCTGACAATATATATGTCTTATATAACATAAACATTAGTTTATTTCCTTGGGTTGAAATTTTACTACTGTCAATTTCTATACTTTCTTAAATGATCCCATGCCACATGTGTATGACTGAGGGCATAGTGGTGGGAAATATTTCCTGACTCAAGGTAGACGGGGAGGTACTAGGGGAGATTTTCAACCTTAAGTCACAAAGTAAAAAGTAACCTTTGTCTGGAGAAGCCAATACCCAGGACAACCTACAACACAAACTAAAGAATAAAGGAAGCTAATATAAGAGAATCTACTATGTGCCAAGAACATGCTGCGTGCTTTTGCATTTCTTTAATTTTCACGATGACCCTGTCAGGTAAGCATTATTACCTCCATCAGATAGATGGGGAAACTGGAGTTCAGTGACACTAGATCATTTTACCCAAGGATTATACAGCTACGTAGCAGAGACAGACATGCAAAGCCAGGTCTGCTTCCTTCTTTCCCTGTGAGGGCCTATATTAGCCTACGGTCAGATTCGGAGGATAATACAACCAGAGTTATGAAACCAGCAGGGTAAGTCTGAGCTCTAACTAGATGAATTGCTGGAAAGCCTCCTATCTCCATCTCACATTCCTTGGCAAAATGATGAGACGATTCCCAAAGCCTGAAGACGCCAGCCAGAGGCACTGTAATCGACCTCTGTGCCGTGAGCCTGGAACGACAGTGCTCTCCCTGCCAGGTGTCTCCTGACCTGGTTGGGGACCTTGCCACTGGTATGTTAGGTATCAATTGCGGGGCTACCACAGCCACCATGCTGTTTTTCTTAACAGATGTGACCGTCACCACTGTCAACAGCACCAAAGCAGGGCACAGGGTTCTAGGTGGGTCTAGTGAGAATCGGCATGCACCTCACGCTGGATCGGGATTGCCTGATGAAACCTAATACCCGCTTCCTAAGAAGCAGCCGTACGGCATCACTGCCTTTGGGGGCTCTCTACTGCTAGCTGAACTCAACGTGGAGAGCTGCGAGGCCACTGGGGGTCTGAATTCACTTCTTCTTCCAACGCCAGCTGCTGAAATGCAACATGAAAATGGGATCCAAAGAAAAATTGATAGGATGATCTTTCTTTGCCCTGGACCACGCCTATTATCCTAGTGCAATTATTATCAGCACTCCCTTTCACTCTCAAAACCATCTCAGTGCGTATCATAAATAACGTCGTCTTAATTACTGACCAATATCACTCATGAACATGCATGCCAATATCCTGTATAAGTTATTAGCAAATCAACTCCACTATTCTTTTTGTTTAAAGTTCCATTTCTGATCGTAAAGACTTAAATAGATATCTTGATCAACCAACCTAATAAAAGCTAGATTGATATATAAATATAAAAACATGAGAAAAGATATAACAAGGAAAAACCCACTAAAAGAAAGCCAGTGTAGGTATGTTAATATGAGACAGAATAGACTTCAATGAAAATAGATAAAGAGGGCCACTGCACAATAAAAGATTTATTTCATCAAGATGTAATAATTTAAAAACCGTATGCCTATAACATAATCTCCCCAAAGCAAACACAGACAAAAGTAAAAAGAGAAACAGGAATGTCCTCAGTCATTGTGAGAAAATTTTGCAAGTCTTTCTTGATCAATAGATTATGAAAACAAAAACTTATTAAGGCTACGATAGACTCGAACACATTTCACAAGCTTCATCTTAAGGACTCAGATAAAATAATTATTCACAATTACAAAAATTAACCACGTACTAGGAGTCAAAGTACATCTCGGTCAATGGCAAAAGATTGATATTACTCAGACCGAAATACTATTAGTAAGAAATCAATACAAAAACATAATTAGGGAAAACTCCACACAACTGCACATTAAGAAGTATGACCAAATAACTCAGAGATCAAAGAAGAAATAGGAATTAGAAAAATTGTAGGACTTAACAATAATGACAATACTAGGTACTAACACATACGACCTGCAGCAATTTGGAAGAAAATGTCAAGACTTAGACACTTCATTAGAAAAGAAGAATGAAAGGAAATGAATGGGCTAAGCAAACACCGTCAGACGACAAAAAGAACAGCACTAGCCCAAAGAAAGCAGAAGGGAGGCGATAATAATAAAAACAACAGAAATGGAGGAAACGGAGAACACTCAGCGAGAAGAGCAGTGATGTCAAAGGTTTGTTCCCCAAAAAGGCTACGAATGCTGCCAAACATCCGGTCCGAAAATTAAGAAAACAAAGAGAAGGCACAGTAACCAGTATCAGAAATGAAAAGGAACAAAATGACGGGTATTTTCAAGATCAGATGAGAAGATATTATGAATAACTTAATGTCAAAAAACTTGGGAACTTAGATGAAATAGATACATTCCTAGAAAAATAAAGCTTAGCAAAACTGAGTTAATTGGGTGCTAGGTATATGGGGAATCATTATGATTCGCTCCATTTCTTTCGTGTTTGAAATTTTCCGTATTAAAAAGCTATTTTTAAGCTGACTCAAGAAGAACGGGAAAATCGAAACAGTCCTTTAACCAATGAAGAAAGAAAGTCAGTAGTTAAAATTTTTCCTTTAAAGAAAAAGCCAGACCCAGTTGATTTTAAAAGGAGAGTTCTGCTAAAAATTCAAGGAAGAAATGATTCCGATTTTACACAAGCTATTTGAAAGTACAAAGAACATTTAGAAACACCAGCATGATACCATTACTAGATCATAAATATAATTATAAATCTGTAAAATAAAATACATTCAAAATATTGGTGACGACATATGTATTGATGTTGAAAGAAATAAAAAAGTACATTAATAGAAAAAGGCAAGCAAAAAACCACATATATAGCAAGACTTCATTTCTGCAAAAACACATATGGGGGTGCACATGGGTATGTGCGTACGTGTGCATTATGAATGAAAATTTAGACAGACTATTAACATTGGTTATCTTTGGATAATAAAATTAAGGGCGATTTAAATTTTCTTCTTTATACATTTCTAAATTTTTTATAATAGGTCGACCAAAATTAACTGACCATCTGAACATGTTCTTCTATAAGCGGAGAAGACAAAGAAATAGATCATCGAAAACAGACACACTTCATCGACTTAATGAAGACTAAACCCAGGTTAAGAACCAGTTCAGAAATGTGAACTATAGAACTGAAGATAGCTTTCAGATTTCCTGAATTCAAGCAAGTTGCTTCCTCTTAGTCAATATTCATACGAAAGAAAAAAAATGATAAAACTATGTATTTCATTGCCTGCCAAGCTTTGAGAAGGTCAGGCGTGGCTGAGAACACGAAGTATAGCAAAAGCTCTCATTTCTGCTGGGCATTGCCTCATTACGAACCTTCTAACGGTCCTGCCAGGTAGGTATTAATGTTCCCAAGAGCAAATGCTGACAGAGGTGACAGAACTGGCCAAGCTCACGCAGCCGCTGTGGGGGTCCTGACCCACCCAGGGCCTTGAGGAAAAGCTAGACAAAGTCACTTGAGGCTTTATAAACTTGCAAGTCTCTCAATGCTTCTGATCTTTTACATGGTTATCCTACCACCCTTATCTAATTTGCAAGAAAGATAAAAGGAGAAAAGCTTGGGGTTTTTAGAAAGCCGGAGTAAAAATATCTGGAGAAGCAAGATTTAAATCGGTTGTTACTCTCTTTGGAATTTGTCCTTCATTTGTCATCAACTCGAAAGGCTCAAGATCAAAAGGCCTGGTCAGGTGGTCGTGGGGAGGGGAGCAGTTTGAGCGCGCACACCTGCATGTGTGAGGGGCCACAACAGACTGGGATAAGGGAAGAGGGACAGTACCTGGGACGAAAGGAGGCAGATAGGAAGGACCAAGTTCAAGGGGGATTGAGAGAAGGGGCAGTAGAAAGAGGAGCAACCAGGAGGAGAAGCGGCTGTGAGTTATTCTGCAGTGTTCGTTCCTTCCACCTTTTCCTCTCTATATTCTCTTCCTTGACGATCTCAGTCACTATGAGGCCGTGGATGCTTTCAGTCTGGATGATCACCAAACCTCTCCAGTCCTGACTTTTCTCTGGAGATCAAATCCTCTGGGCTGGCCACAACCATGTACATTTCCCATCAGCACTTTAAACCCAGTGGGTCCGGACCGGATGCAGCATCCCCTCCATTCCAAGCCTGCGCCTACTCTTGTGCTCGCTCTCACTTACCGACCCTTCGCAGGAACTGCTCTCTCTGCGCATTCCTTCAATCACTCTTTCATCCAACAAATATTTATTTTGGATCTACTCTGCCCCACGTACCGCCACGGGAGTAGGTGCATCCGTTCACTTACCGAGTCGGATCTCTTCTACCTTGAAAATCTCTTGTTTGCCCGTCTCCTCTAAAGTCTTTACTGAGTTTTATTGAGAACCCCTCCTGCTTGAACCATGGCGACACACTATGTTAATTGGTTTTGCATGCCACCTCGCACTATACCTGGGACACAGAAGGGGCTCACGGTGGAGGCTTAGGGACCAGACTGGCTGGGAAGGAGGAGCAGAAGCTAGATTTGTCTTGAAGGAGTATTTGCACATGAATAAAGGCGTTTTCCTTAAACTATATGTTACAGATCTACAAAAATAACATAAGCATGATCACTCTTTTATTTCTGGGGTGTGGCTTTGGGTGGCTGGGAAGATTGTTCAAAGTCTGATGCTGAGAGTCTTCTGATCGAAGCCTGTCCATTGAGAACTCAATAGCCACTTGTTGAACATGTCACCTTCTAGGACCACGAGTGTTGTATTCTCCACTCTATTCCCAGCCACTAAAACATCTGGCCCATAATAGGGGTCTGATAAATATCTGTGGAGGATTCGAGACAGGCAAGGACCAGAGACGTTTTATCTACCATCTCAGGAAGGACAAAGACCTGGAGCCCGAGGGAAAAAGAAATAGTACGAGATGTTCCCCTCCCTCTTCCTTCAGAGCTCGGTAAATGTTTGCTAAGCTATATAAATCGCCTCCTGCTCAACTCCAAAATCGGGCCCCTCGCTCGGCTGCCAGGCCCTGGAGCGCGGCCACCATCTGGCCCAGGCCCGCAATGCCCTCCCTCGTACCCTCCCGCCCAGCCTGGGCTCCCGTTACCTCCCTGCACACATCTGTACCCACCCGAAGCCAAACAATTACACGTTCCCGCGTCCGGGCCTCGAGGTCGGGGGCTCCCCACCAGGACCCCTTGTCCCCCTAGACCTCCAGCCCCCACCGCCGCCGAGGCCTGGGGAAGCCCGCGGCCGGAGACCGCCGC